AGCACAGCGACGGGAGACGCTGAACCTGAAGTAACACAGGCGCTTAATTTGGAGGCCACCCGTACCTAGCGGGACACGGGTTTCCGTGTACGCAGTGCTTGCGGCCGGCGGTCCGGCTTTGCCGAAGGTGTGAATTGCATTGAGGTGAGCAGCCTTGCGCTCCCACCAGCCCGGCTCCCCGCAGCAAGGTCGAGCTCAGCAGGCAGTGCTTTCTTGCCCTAAAGGCTGTGGCTTTTCCTCTCCCATTCCTCAAATGTCTCTCAAAATGCTGACTGACCCTCTACCCTGAAATTAGCCGTAAATTGAAAGACTTTTCCATCTCTTTAATGTATTTTCAGACGTGAGACCTGAAATACCACAAATGCATTGTTTTCATTATTATGCTAGCCTCTGTTGACAAACTTTACTGTCTATAGTATATTTAACGTATTGAATTTTATTTGCCACTAATGGATCTTAGGTTACTGTATAGTGATCTTTTCAATTCAAAGCCATTTAAGAGCACAATGAAAGTTTAGTTATGAAAATATTACCTTGCCAGTTTTGCTATACCATTAGCTGAAAACCACCCCATATATAAAGAGAAGTTTTTAGGAAAACCCCAACAATATAAACACTAATTGCTATGCATATTTTCATGCTAGTTAAAAACCTAATTTTTTCTCTATAGCTTTTAAAATAGTATTTAAATTGGATAAAGTAATGCATGTCTTACACTTTATATGTGTATAAGTACCAAAGCAATGTTAGTATCAGCTGGAAGCATGCAGTGGACTGTACACTCCATCCTTTGTCTGAAAGTAAATTGTTATTCCAGGTAGACACACAAGATCTTCCAGAAGCTTTTCCTGTTCTCTTATTTTGCCGTTATAAATCTTAGGTACCATAACTATCTCCCATAAATCTTTCTTTGGTTGGACATCATGTTCTCTACTCAGTACTGTACATTCTCTGTATTTGTCATCATTAAGAAGTTCATTTGCTTTACCACTCACAGATCATTACCTTCCAAAAATAGCAACCATGCATCAAAGCCTGTTTGATGCGGATACAAGGCTGTACATCCTTTCTTGCATCAGAATAATTTGTCAGTCTTGGTATCACCATGCCAATAAACACTGGGGCAACAGTCATTTTCCATGCAACATGATATGGATTGTTTTTATGTAAATTTTAAGTGGAACTGAGCTCTCATCAGCAGTTTCTACAGGGCAAAGATTAGATTACTGAAGAAAAAAAAATGTAACTTTATTGCTGGCACTTGCCTTGTAGCTCTTTAATCATTGAAAGAAGGCGTTTTCAGGGTAGGAGTTGGCTTATCATTAAAGGAAAGGGAGCAGGTGCATTTAAGCTTATCCAGTGACGAGGTAGGAACTGTCTGTGGTTGTTTATAGTGATGGGTAATTAGTTTGTCTATGTACAGACGTCAGAGTTTAGAGAAAGTAGAAGGTCATGTTTCTTTGCTTTCACAGAGACCTTGTGAACTTAAATTCTGCTGTGTTTTTAATTAAAAAGTGTTTTATTTAGCATGTGCTTCTGGGTGTATAGGGTCTAATTCTTCTCTTGGAAAAAACCCAGCCAACCTGGCAGTGTTGCTTTAAGGCAGTGGATGGGAACACGAGTGTGTGCTGCCTGCCATTGAGCTCTACAGAGGAAAGGTAGGAAAGGTTCTGCTCCCACTCAGCCTGTGGTGGTGCTGACAGCCTCTGCTGTCCTCTCTGTCGTGCAGGACATTAACAGCTGTACAGTACTTGGCTGGTAACCTCAGAGTTTATAGTCATGAGAAAAGAGAAGAGAAAGGAGGAAAAAACTCCTAAATAAGAAGGACTGGCCCTGAACTGTTACCGAGAAACTGCAAATAGGATTGAATTATGGAAATGTCTCAGGGAAATATTTATTGCAGTAGCAAAACTGCATTTCAGATTCACCAGGACAACAGTGAAATCATCAATGTCTAACAATACATGGATAAATTCTCCCTGTTTTGTGTGAAGGTTTAATAAATGGTCAGTGTTTCACAGGCCATCTGTTCCACTCTTGATTTCAGATGTGTGTTGCAAGCACAACTGGTCTTTGACTGGAGAGTGTCACCAACACACATTGTGGAGAGGGACCTGGAGAGCACTCACTGTGCAGAAAGTGACTCTGAAGTCTGTTGTCACTATGTCACAGATCTCTTGTGCAGTGCCCTGCACAGCTGGAATCCATCAGTTTTCTTCTCTGTGGTCTTGCTTCATAACAGCAAGCTCAGGCTTTGGCCATTAAATGTAGTATTTACCCAGCAATGCACAGTTCATGTATCTTTTTGTTACAGAAGCCTACAAGTGCCTTTCTGCAATTGTAGATGCTGATGAACTGAATATGTCTTGTTTGTTGAAGTCCAAAATAAAGGCCATCCACTTGAGCATGGGGATCTTTGTTGGAAGGCAATAGAATGAAGGCTGTACATGCCAAGATTGTAAGATATTCTTAGGAAAAGCTGCTTCTTTTCTTAGCTGTGCATA